TTGTGTGATCATTTCCACTCCTGAGACTGGGAGCTCGACAGACATTTTTTAAAAGTGAACTCAACCTTTTGAATGGAGAGAATCAGCCAATCAAATGTCAGCGCAAATTTTGGTGAAGAAAACACCCTGCAGTTTAAACTGTTTCTAATCTACTGGCATTTTACAGACAAAACCATCTCAGGTTCACAGAGAGTGGTCTGAGCAAGGGAAAATATCCAGTGAGCTGTGGTGGTTGCATATGAAAGAAAGGCAACGTTAGCTCCAATAACCATAAACCAATGTGTGTAGAAGACCACCTCTGAAGGGACCACATGTAGGCAGGTAGGCTGAAGCAGCAGTAAACCACACCAGGTTCCGTTGCTGTCAGTTAAGAACAGGAAACTGAGGTTACAGTTCACAAAGACAGAAACATCAGGGTCACCAGATAGGAAGAAACAACAACAAGCTGCCTGTTTTTCCACTGTTCAGCACAGATCAGTACCTTCAGTTTGATTCTTATCCACCGGAACACAGACCTGAACATGTCCTTACAAAGGCAGAAGGAAAGTAAACAGAACCACATGAAGAAAGCTCCTAAAGCCTTGGGAAGTCATAACTGAGTTTTGGGAAAGGAGATCCAGGAAACACACCTCTGAACAGAATGAGGAAGACAACAAATAAAAAAACATCGCCATTCTCTCAACTCTGGACAATTCGAGATTATATGTTCATGCAACAACATGAACATATATTGGGCAGAAAATGTAGACGTTTGAGAGAGGAGTTAGCAAGTATCCAAGTGGTACTAAAGATGACCTACAATCTGCATGTGAATTTAGATTTGCAGAACCAAACTCCATTTCAAAGGTTCAAACTTCGTCCTCACTATCTCTGAAACAAAAAAAACAATCAGATAAAGGACAACTTGTTTTTAAAAAATGGAGGCCTGCTATTATGAGAGACTCATCAGGTATCGTCCAGAACTGGTTGGACAAACGTAGCCTGGTCCAGAGAGTCTCTGATTAAGTTTAAGCATCCAGCCCAGGTGTCACAATGAGGGAGAACCATCTCTACAACTAAGTATGATTACAATCCCATTCCGTTCATCTTCTGATGCATAAGTAGCATGAGGCACGATACCTGCCATGCTTAATGTTTTTACTTTATAGAAAGATTTTTACAGCATAATATGACGCTCCAAGCTAGCTTTATGATCACCTGCAGCTTTATCTTTTTCTACAATCAAATGCTATCATAATAGGATGGCCCTGCAATGTGTTGGGGAGCAAGACAGCGTTTCTTAGTCTTAGCAAGCTTCCGAGTTTTTGACTACTCTACTCAGACATCATACTTTTTGCCAAACTTCAGGGTGTTTTCACACCAGAAAAGCTTGGATGGTTTGGACCAAAAGTACTCTTTAATTTTTCATTTCTTTAATTTTAATTGTACTTTTGGTAATTGGTCTATAGGTCACAGCAAAGCCACACAAGAGACAGGCATTGTTCAAAAATGACTGGTAGGACAGAGCACAGAATTAGCAATGGAGGAAAACTGCTCCAGGAGTCTTTCACAAACACGTCCTACAAGTCTGCTGTCAGCAATGTAGCTAAATAACAGGCAGCTAAAAAGGAATCCATGCTATTTACTACTGCAGTGGCCTTCTGAGTCCAAACAGACATGCTTTCTGCTTGTGGCTGGTTTGAATTCATACCTGAAGTAAACTGCACCAGAGTCCGTTTTTAGAGCGTCCGAGACGACCTAAAAAAAGTGTCTTAGTCCAGCTGTTTGGTCCAGACTCCAGTTGGTCTTTATTCAAACCTGCACAAAGGGTCTGAAACAAGAGGGGGGGGGGGGGGGGGGGAAACCAAACTCTGGTCTGTTTAAGAAGGACCAAATGTAGAAGGTGTGAGTCGTCCGTCTGCAACATGAATAATAATCTTGTACCTTTATGATGGTTATTACACTACAATGCACAATTATTCATAGACAACAGTGTTGTCTATGAGGCTCACGTCTAGGAGGCTATTTCCATTTCATTCAAATTAAGATGTATGAAGGAAATGTTTTGTGGTAAATGTAAAGCCTCATCGAAACCTACACCATAAAGAGTTAAGACAGAACGTGAAATCTATTACGGATCAGTAGAAACTCCTTCTGTGATCAATATGTGAAGCAAATCTACTTATCACGACATCCCATCTAAGGTTCAGCCCTAATAAAAATATATTCTATGATCTGATTTCAATAAAAAAAAATAAAAAAATACTGGCTAGTCTTGGGGATCCCCCAGAAGAGGGTTAGGGGTGAGGGAAGTCTGAGGGGCTTTGAATCGTTGGCTATTTCCATGACTATGTGGCAATCATGACCATGGCAATCAAGACAAACAGCTTTGCAGGCAGACCTGAATACCTCTTTGATGTTTTTAAATGTGGGACAAAACCCATAGGGCACTACAAACACCTCACAGACAGTGGACAACTCTGTAGAAGGCAGCTGTAACTAACATATTTGCTCCTATTAGGTCAAAGGGGAGCTTGTGGGTATCTCAGTGTTCATTGAGGAGGGGATGGGGTACATTCTGGACACATCACAGGACACAAACAAGCATGGAGGTTCACACTCAGGGCCATCTAAGGGGACCAGCTAACCCGACTAAAATGTTTCTGCTGAGAGGGAGGAAACTGGAGTACCTGGAGAGAACTCAAGCAACGACATGCAGCCTCCATGCAGGAAGAAAGACCCCAGACTGGCATTCTAACCCAGGATTTTGCTATTGTAAGGTAACAGCACCAAAAGTGCAAAAGAAAAAAAACATGATGAGGGAAATGTTCACCATTATCCAAGAGTTTCTATTTCTGCATTTATAGCTGGAATAGGTTCATGATCTAGGTTCAGATTCATCCAGTCCATCAACCTAAATAGATACTAAAGAGCTGTAGTGTTTTTCTCACTTATTAGATATTCAGAAAGGCAGATCTAAAGAGGATAACTTTGATTCATTCCTTCATGAATGCTATCCTTAGATTTGGTCCTATGCTCATCATCTCCTCCTGATTGCTTTCACCTGTTGGCATACCTTTCTCCTGTCTCTCCCCTGAATAGAAGCTGTTAGGCTCCACTTTTCTTTACTGGGTTCTGCTGCATCCTGCTTCTCTCCTGTGATGATTCTCCCTGTGTTTCCACTGGATCCATAACTGAAATCTTTCAACTCACAATATGCCTCACTAATCCTCGCTTGTATTTACAACAATAATTCACTCATTCATTCATTCATTCATTCACTCATCCATTCATTCATTCACTTCTGATATATAATATGCTATAACTAAGTACAGAACGACTATGTAGAAATGTAGTGCTATTATAGAAATTGCTTGATACAGATACAACAAATTGATGGATAATTCAGTCATTCATTCGTTAATTCATTTTTCTATAATATATATAATATAGCAAAAATTGCTCAAGTAAAGAATATATACAGTTTTACAATCCTATTAGAAATTACCTATGACAGACAAAAAAAAATGTATGCTTAATTGATTGATTCATTCAAATCAGTTATATACTTACCATTGACATTACAAAAACTTCACTAATTACCCAGATATCTTACATATTTCTGTCCCATCACCCGTTACCAGTGGCGTCCCTCAGAGCTCAGTCTTTGGGTCACTACTGATGTAACATATCCTCTTCAACACGATGTGTTTTCACACAACCAAATCTATAACTTTGTCTTTGTTTTTTTTTGTTTTTTTTTTTAGGTTTTTTGTTGTTCTTTTTTACTGCTGCAGATTAGAGGATCTGACTCCAGTTTCGCCAATATCTGTCCAAAATCTAGCTTTGACAAACTTAGCAGGAAATCTTCTTTATGACTTCAGAACCTTCAAACTCTAAATCCACTTCCTACCCACAATAGATAAAGTATGTTGACTCCAACTGGTCCAAACCTGTGATCACTTTGGCAAGAATACTATAAATTTTCATCATCACCATCAAATGTCTAGAATCAGGCTGATACTGACTGAGTTTCTCTACCTGCTATCAGCTCCACACCAGCTTAACCACACTGGGCTGAAGATCTTTCATTGGATTAAATCTTTCAAAACCATATGTACATGTGATCATTTTAAGATAAACAAAAATAAATACAATACTATTAATTATATTTATCATTATAACCATTATAGTTTTGTATTTATTAGTTTTTAGAATCTCTGTACCAAAGTATTTTTAAGACTCTGTATTTTCTATTTTTAATTTGTTGAATTATTGTTATTTTTCATTATAATGGATATGATTGTTATGTTTTATAGTTAGAAGAAGATTAGATTAGTTTGGGTTTGCTTCTGCAGATGTCCCAGTCCAGTATCAGGTGATTCTCTGCTGCTCATCCATCATCCTCCAGGAGTTGCTTGTTTGGCTTCCTGTCCATCCGAATCTTGGCTAATGATCCGTTAACTGCTTTGCCTTCAGTTGAACTGAGGCTCCAATGAACGACTTACCTACTTTTGTCTTGTTTTTTTCTTCTTCTTCTTTTATGTTATGTCGGATTGATGACGGTCATGTATACAGTCAATAACTGACTAATATAAGAACTCTTATGCACTAACAAGTGAATTAGAGGTCCAGCCAATAATGAGTGATTACATCAGAAGATGGCCGGGATCCAGATCAAACCTACTGAGATACTTTACAGAGACCCAGAGAGGTTATCAGTGACGGGCTTTACTAAATTTATGGTTATCTATTTTTAGCATTTATCTCCGTTTGATATCGATGTGATATAAAACATCCATCCTATTTCTCATATGGAAATTCAGTTAAAATTAAGTCTGTTTATATTGCGCTAATTTAAAAACACATGTCATCTCAACTCACTTCACTAAGTCAATTTGCAGACTGACATAGATATAATAAACCAAGCAAACTGGAGTTATTTAAGATTTAACTGAAAAATCCAGATTGACAGATTAATTGTTTCCCTGTAACATGGTGGGGTGACATATGATTTGTACCGTTAGCACAGGGGTTGCTGCTGCATCGATCCATCCGCTTCTCGCAGTTGGAGCCAGTGAAGCCAGTCGGGCAGAGGCAGCTGTAGCCGCCGGTGTCGGACTCCATGCAGGTTCCTCTATTAAAGCACGGCTCATCTGCACATAACATGGCACTTATCTCGCAATTCTTCCCATAGAAGCCCTGAGGGCATGCGCAGGAATAATCGTTCAACAGATCCTGCAGGAAAACAGGAAGAGAGAGACACCTGTAAGGCTGACAGAAGGGTGGGAATGTTTAAAAGACACAAAAGACCTTAAGCATGGAGGATATTGCTTTAAGGGCTCATTAGGCTTGATGCACGGATATTCCACGCAGAAAAAGAGGCAACCATCACTGCGTCTGTAGCATTTATACTCTGTGTGTCTTTGCCCCTGTTCTGGTCCAGGGAGGGGGCATGTTCAGGACAAGCTGACTCCACAAAAACAGTAGGGAGGCGAAGATCCAGCTGTTTACAACTTTATCAAAGACTTTTCATGAGAGGGACAGTAATTTGGTTCCTGGCATTTTTTTTACAGTTTGGTGATAGTGGTGATAATTATGAGCATGACATTTGCAAACCCTCACCAGGAGGAGCTGCTTACGTTATCCGTTGGTCTCCTTCCGTGTAGTTAAAAATTTCCCTAAGTTCTGTCCAGATGAAGTATACACGAAACTGCATCAAGGCCCAAAATGACGTGATTTGGCCGTACGGACCTCGCCAACACGTCAAGCATAAATCAAACTTTAGTCCCATTGTTTCAGTTCAGTTTAGCACTTGTGCTGTCCAATAGCCTACTGGTCCTCAAGGCCATATGACTTTACCTCAACAAGACCCCCTCAATGACCAGGAATGTCCAACAGCTGCACAAGAAGACATTATTGCTTACAGGTTAGGCAATAAAGGTGTCTCCAGCACAGCCAAGGCAAGTCTGAAGGGAGGCATTAGAAAGGCTAAGGTAGTATGTATGAGGAAGCTCAATAGCAAGCAGGTTTAGAAGGAGATCCAGCAGCAAACTACAAGACCGAGAGATACACTTTCACTTCTGTCACTTTTTAGTACGCCCTTCAACTCACAGCAGAAGGGCTCACTCAGAAGGACCATACGGCGAGGAACAGGCAGTGGAATGCCCCAGACAGGCTCTGAGGGACTTCCCTAACCTGCTGGCGGGAACTTAATTTTTCCTGCCCAAGTCCACGGTCTTCATTGTCTGCTTGTCCAAGAAATCATGCATGTCGATGACACCATTGGTCATGAAATGCTTTGAACAGCTAGTGAGGGCTCACATCACTCCTCCCCAAACTTTTGTTCCCCACCAATTTGCCTACAAGGCTGAGAGTTCCTCTGAAGATGAAGTAGCCACAGCCCTCCATGCCGCAGCGTTCTTCCTTGAGCTGTGGTTGAGATTCAACCAGCTTCTTTTGGTGGACTGTAGCTCAGCAAACCGCCACAATCCACCTTCATGTGGATCCACAGCTTCCTGCTGCACAGGGGTCAGAGGGTCAGGCATTATGGTTTGCAGGTGACACCACAGGGGTGGGGTTCATGTCTGGAAGGATGGGTCTGCCCAAAGATGATGATGCTTCTCAACATCTCCAAGACCAAAAGGATGATATTTGACTTTAGGATGTGTCTGGATGGGAAGTCCTGACCTGGAACATGAACATCTCTGAGGTGCTGGTGTCTTTTTACCGTCGCTCTATTGACGGCATACTCTGCATCAGCTGTACAGTTACTCAGAATGAAGCAACCCAAAGGAGTAAATAATGCATCTCAAAAGATCTTTCACTCCCCTCGTCACAAATTTGGAGAACATTACAGTTACTGCCATCTCTAAACAGTCCTGTTGCGTCACTAAATGTGTTACTGTCAGGCTTGATGTTACAGATCAATAAAAACAAGGAAAAGCAGATTCAGCAGTTTCTATCCAACAGCTCAATGTAAAGGCAGATAAATATGTATAGTAGGGCTGCAATTTAAGATTATTTTGCAAATCGATTAATCTGTTCATTATTTTTTCGATTAATCAATTAATTATAGGATAGCAAAAGGCTCCTTAAAAAAAGATTTTATGTTAAATTAAACCAAATGAAAGTAAAACTTTTCATCTTGGGAAGTTCTGGATAGAGCATATTGACAGATGAAAAATATTCTATTCTAATTGCAAAACACCTAAAAAAAATTTTTTTACAATGTTAGTACAATTACTGTAAATTGGTCACTCTGTCAGTTAAAGCGCTGTATACTCTGTCTCTATACTCCAGTTAACGATTTATCGATGACTAAATTAGTTGTTAATTGTTTCAATAATCAATTAATCACGATTAATCTGATTGTTTCAGCCCTTATATATATATATATATATATATATATATATATATATATATATATATATATATATATATATATATATATATATATATATATATATATATATATATATATATATATATATATATATATATACACGTTTTTATTAGATCTTTTTAACAAAACTCTTGTATTTTTGTACTTTATAAAACCAAATTTAACATAACCAGATATTTTTCTCTCTTTCTTTTCCATTTTTCTCTCATTTTGTTGTACTTGTGACAATAGCAATAAAGGTTGTTTGTTGGATTAAAAAAATCACTGTCTGTGAGATTACAGGTTCAGGAATCATGATATGTGATATTTCCCGTATTATGGAGAAGGCCTCAGAATAGTTGAGGAGGTCATGTTGCCTTATGCTGAAACAAGCTTTACAGCAAGACCACAGGTCCAGCAAACTAATAAGGAGCAGAATCTTGGTTCCAGACCACTGAGATTATGGACTAAGCAGCTGAGGAAACACTAAGAACTGCAGAGGAGAAGTGATCCTGGGCTTCAACAACAGACCACCGGAGCAGGAGGGTATTGGACTCCATGCAGGGCAGTGTTCTAATGCTACGTTCACATCGCACGTGTTCGAAACAGCAAACCAGCTGGATTACATGCTAAGTCAATGGTTGACAAGCATCAAGGTACATCAAGAGGTCCTGCAGCGCATCTTGAGCAGCAGGAGCGGCAACTCTTGAGGAATCTGGGTGCGTGATTCGCTTCACAAGCAGCTGCTGCTGGAATTGGAAACTTAATAATTTATTAATGCCCAAGTTTACAAAGAAAGTTGAAACTTGCCAGCAAAATATGCTCCCTTTTATTTTGCTAGTGCCTGCAGTTTGTACCACAAACCTGAAAAAACGCTAACATCGACTTCCAGCTATGACAAACAGTAGGGGAAAAAACCCCAGCAGCAGCTGGGGATTCCTAGCGACAACACACTGCTGGTATGTGGGGATCAACAGCAAAAAAATATTTGAAGGCAGGATGAACTGAATGAACTGACATGTTTTAAGTTGCACTTCCTCACTTAAAAATATACCAAAACTACTTTTTACCAGCTTATAACAGCAAATATAGCAAAGCTGCTCTGCCACTGAACACAGGAGCAGCAGAAAGCATGAGACGCATCTTTTCACACTTTAGTGGACGCACATCAGAAGCAACTTGACAGGCGTCTGAAGTTACTGCATACAAGCATTGAAAATGAAGCAGCAGGTGCTTCTTTGCTGCCCAAAGCGAGTGCGGTGTGAACATAGCATAACAAGCTCCAAACATCGTTAGAGTAAATGTTTGAATGAGGAACAAAAATGTCCAAACTAATGTTACTTCATAATAACATTTTCTGTAGATAAGAAAAAATAGATCTTATTTTGCTTTAGTGAGGTATTCCCAGTGCGTTTATCTAACTGGAAAACGAAGCTGTCGTCACTAAGCTCAGCTCTAACCACGTTAATACAGTAGAACCCTAGTGGTTCAGGAGAAACTACTGTTGCTGCTTCCTGGATTTTTTCGAAACATGATCCTCTAATAACTACCTGTGTACCTTATTGTAGATGAAAATATATTAGGAATATATATTTATATCCCTAAAGTGATAATAAAATAGCCAAATGGATCTGCACAGAACTGTTGGAAGAAAAGCAATCTTTTTGTTTTGTTTTTTCATAAAAAATATTCCTGGGTTTCCTAGAAGTGTGCATTTAAGTTTATCCACTTTAGTAAACACTTGTAGGTCCAAAAGCACCATTAAGCTGTACTCATGGATCAGGAAATCAGGCACAACAGACCCCACAGCAGAATAAGAAAGATAAGATTCCCGAACTGCAAATATCCCGGTCTGATGCTGCACTAGCAGCATGCTTAAAGAACAGAACTGACCCACGAAGGCATCAAACCTAGAGGAATTCAGAGATCTGCAGAGAGAAAAGCCTCCCGCATTCTTCCCCTGATGGATGCCAGCGCCATTCCTCCATGTTGGACGTTTGAACTGATCGGTGTTTCTATGAGGGAGCAAGAACCGCTTGGTTCTGGAGTGGATCTGGTGACGTACTTTGCAGCTTCCTCCGTTCCTGCAGGGGTTGCTGTCGCACTCGTTGGTCTCCGTCCCGCAGTTCTTGCCAGTGAAGCCAGGTTGGCACGTGCAGGTATAGCTCCCCTCGCCGGTGTTGGTGCATGAGGCTTGGTTCTGGCACGGCCGGTGGTTGGTGCAATAGTTCAGGTCTGGGGAGAGGAAAGGAAACATTGGCGGATATTAATAAAAAGAGCCAATCAGAAGCAGAGTATCACCTAAAAAACATCTCAGCCTACTGAACTACACCTCAGGTAAGCTGAGGTCCACGACCAAAGAAAACTGTCAACAAAACCTTAATTAAACATCCAAATAAATATGTTTTTCTTTTTTCCTTTATGAATAAATGTGCAACAAAGAAACTCGTAAAGCTAAACAAAACTGAACATTTTGTCACAATAAATGTCGCGTTTGAAATATTTCATGAAGAGCAGCAGAATTTAGCATTAAAGACCAAATTTAGTTCATGTTTTACTGTTTTTTTATAACATCCCCATAATATGCAGATTTTCTGTTCATCATTTTCTAAACTCAGACACAGAAGTTTGATTTTTCTCCAACTGAAATCAACCAGAGCTTTGAAATAATCTTCTGCTGACATATTTTCTTCAGCTGTTCCTGTTGAGGCCCTCAGGGACCAGGAGCTCCGAGCCTCAGCAGGTAAAAGGAGCTCTAAAGAGGTAAGGAGACAAGCAACCAAGCAGAATGCACATGATGGCACGGACGGATGGCAGAGGAAACCCAGTAGGAAGTGTCATCAAAAAGAAACGGACGTATAAAAGAGGACCAACAATGGAGCTCTGCTAAACACCTCTGAACATCTGAGGTCAAACAGCAGGAACGTGATGGGATTTATGTGGCATCCAGCACTGTGAAAAAATCCAAAATCCAGAGTTTTCTTTGGTCTTTTTTCAGTCTGGTATCTGACTTTGCTTCCACTCCTTCCTTGGCTTCTAAACTCTCGGGATGAAACAATGTTGGATCAACACAGTAAACATCTTAGGGAATAAACAATTCATATCAGATCTTTAGTTTCTTTGCCACCACCAGCCCGTATCAAACAGAATAAAATCCCATTTGTGTGGCAGAATTGCTAATTTAACTATGTCAGATAAGAGGATTGAAGTTGGTTTTATAATTCTGTTATAAAGTAATTATAAACGGGGCTGCAAACAGGGGCTAATAAACCATTTCTTACTGGATTTATAAACACCAGTTGATGTGTTTTAACAGTGACACTCATCATCTCCTGATGGAAGCAGATCCTTCCTCTGGACCAGCAGTCTGTAGTTCTAAGAGTGCCGGAGTCGATAAGCGAGCAGGTTTAGTTCTGGGTCTGATCCAGTTAGCAAGGAAAGTTCTTCCACCTGGTTGACAACAGCCATCTTCTCACAGAGGCAGTCGAAGATGTTCCAGAGGATTCTCGCCTAAAGAAGTCAGTAAGGTTTCTCTGCTCTGTAAATTATAAATACTTCTACAGAAGGTCCACCTTTAGTTTGCTGCCACCATGATGGTGATCAGGTTCCTCGTTGTCATGCATCACATTGAAGGACTTCCTCCACTGCTGGGGTTTGGTGCTTCGATCCAACAGCATTATGGAAACAGAATATTTTCATCTGGTTTAGCGGCTGCTGATCCTGTGCTGAAGGATGAATTGTGAATCAGGGTAGAGATGATCCTCGGCAGGAAGAAGCAGCAGAAGGCCGTCCCCTCTCAGAGTCAGCAGACCTTCTCAATTAGTCGCTGCCATCAGGACTGACTGAACTTCAGAGGGAATGTTCTGCTCTCTGATGCTTCAATTAAATAGCAAATTGTGAATTTACAAAACCTGATTTCAAACTGATGTTCCCTTAGATGCTCAGTTGCACAACGATTTTCTAGTAATTGCCTAAACTTATCTTCATCTAAAATCATTAAACTTTCTCCGGGTGTTTAAAAAGTTTCAGGGAACTTTAGTACCATTTGTTCCTTCAAACCCTGATTTGTTTTCTTTGTCTATCTTTAATAGACTGGATATAGATCAACATCAGGCAGAATTTCATGCAAATAAAGCAAAAGAAAAAAACATTATATCGAAATAAATCCTGAAATCTAAACGGAGTTGCAAAGTTGTTCTTGAATAGTCTTCAGGCTTTTAGATAGCAATGCGTACAGGCGTACATTGTACATTTACTAAGAGAAATGACTAATTATTCATGCTGTTTTTGGGATGTACAGCTTTTCCTGGAGTTGTAAAAATGTAACATTTTGCTGCTTGCGCAGAGAAGCTGATCTGGGAGCTGGCAGAGAGACAGACTCAGCGCTGCTGATGCAGATCGCTATGATCTTTCCTCTCAAACAGTTTATTTACGCCTTAATTAACTTCAAATGTCGTAATCTGCCGACATAATATGTTCACTTTTTCTATTTTGGTGCCTGCAGTTTGTTCCACATACCTGAAAAAAAATCTGACTAACCAAACTAACTAAACATCTAACCTAACATCTACCTCCTGCCGCCACCAACAGCAGGGGTCAAACCGGGCCTGAGACAGCCGCTGCTGGGGATTCCCAGTGACACCGCACCGCCTGTATTTGGGGGTCTAAGCGGCTCTGACAGCGAAATAAGATTTTAAGTTAAAGTTTTACTTTAACAGCCATAAATAAAGGAAGTTGTCGGCGGTTTTATCTTCAGCCATGTTGGGAAAGGGTCAAAGTCTTCATCTGCTGGATCAGGGGTGTGAATTAACTCTTGTCCTAATTATTGCTCCCTGCCCATGTTTTAAACCACTACTAATCATAATGACCCAAAACACTTCAAGACTGCTGCTGCCTTGCTAAAGAGACTGCGAGTAATGGTGCTGCAGCTTGTTTTCAGACCTAAACCCTGTTGAGACTCAGTGGGCTGGAATCAGATGGACGGTGGAGGAGCTGCAGGTCTCCCTCCACCTGCTCCATGATGTGGTGTCATGGATGAGTTGATGTTATCTATTCAGTGTTGTTTCATGAATCGATATAAAATGTTCATAAAATGTTAATATTCTTTAGAATTATTTCTTTTTGTTTTAATAAAGCATTTTATGAATATATCATGCAGATCTGTTTCACACATAAAATACATTTCTAATTTTAATTTATCATAATTTAGATGACTCTATATTAAAGCTTAAAAAAAGAAAAAAAACATTTTTTTTTTGTAGAATCTGAAGATTCCTTTAGATGAATAAATGAATCCAGACAAGGGTTAAACATTACCTCCATGTTCTGTATCTCCTATCATCAGTCAGTCTGTTTTTGTATAAACTAATAAATAAAAGCAGTTGGAGATGGATGTCAGCCTGTGGTTCTGCTGAAATGTTCTGGAAGCCCGGTTTGCTTGGATAGCAGCCTTTAGGTCATCTGAACATTGGGTTTTTTTGCTCTGTATTAAAAAAACAGTTGTTTGCTGAAATTCTGGTGATTAAAGCTCATCTTCTAGAACTCATGCCTTTAATAGAAGCCCTTCTACGCCCTTCTCTGCTTCCTCTGACTTCACTCTGTCCTCCTGCAGACTGTCTCCTGTCCTCACAGTGTCCCACTTCCTCTGAGCCGATTCTTCCTCTGAAGAACTCACAGACCTAAATCGATACTAAATATTTGCAACCATAGGCAGAAAGGTGCAGTTTGTGAAGTTATCTGGTCACATAAACAGCAATATTTTTGGATTATTTAACCTTTAATAAGGGGGGAAAAATGGGAAATTATTTATCAAAGCAATATCATCAAATTTAATTCTATTGCATAAAAAATACCCATTTACTTTTTTTGAAACGCTTTTAACAGAAAACTATTGAATAATCATTATATGATGCATATTCATAAATGTAACATTTCCTATTTATTTAAAATTCATAACTGTTACATTTATGTATATAGTATAAATAAAGTATATTTACTCAAAATTTTTACTAGTTGTATTCAATTGAGATACATTAAGTTTATTGTTTGAATCATCAGTCTTACCTCTGAGCAATTCAAGCAATAAATGTATCTGAAATAAATGCTCTGATGCTATATATATATATATATATATATATATATATATATATATATATATATATATATATATATATATATATATATATATATATATATATATATATATATATATATATATATATATCACATTTCATAGCAAAAACTGAATTGCTAAGTAAAATATTTAATTTGAAATCTAAATATTTAAACTTTTCACTGAATAATACTTAGTTATCTAGATAAACTAAATTATGTAAATTAAGTAAACTAAATGTTTAAGTCTAATATGATTTATATTGTAAATTAAATATTGATTCCCAAATAAAATGTAGTGAGATGACATGCGTTGTGAAATGGTGCTATATAAATAAACTAAATTGAACTGAATTATATATTTAGTCTGCAAAGAAATTTATCTAATTTATATTTAGCATTTATCTATAAAACTAAATATTTACTTCCAAAACAATTATTTATGTTAATAGCGTCATATTTTGTTACAAATTAAAAAATAATTTCAGCAAGAGCCAAAAAGCTAAATATTTACTTAGAAAACTAACTATTAATTCAAGCTTAGACCTAAACATTTAGATTGGATCTAGATATATAACTTGCTAACTAGAGCTGTATATTCAACTTACTGAATAAATATTTAAGAGAAAAATTAAATAACTAGTTTGTAAACTAAATACTATGCTTGCTAAATAAACATTTAAAACTAATACGCTGATGGGGAAGGGGTTATTTGGTTTGTTCTATTGTATTATATCTTTGTGCTTCACTACTTGACTTGTTTTATTGTAGTTGTTATGCTAGTTTTTCTATTTGTGAAGTCTATATTTCTTTTACTTTAACAAACTTTTGTATGAGCACCTTGTCTAACTGGCTTTTATAGGCCTACCTTGTAAGATCTTATAACTGTGCTCTGTTTTTTTTGTTTGTAAAATTCAATAAAAAATATCTTGAGTAAAAAAAAAACTAATAAGCTAATTATTTGGCTTACAAATTACATATGTATTTGCTAATTAAATGTGCTGTTTGGAAATGTGATTTTCATAAATGATTGAATGATATGGGTTTAAAATAACTAATAAAACTAAACCCCATTTGTTTTCTTATTACAGGCTAAATAAGCCATAAATATCGATGTGATCAAAAATAAGTTTAGAAACTCTAATTTCCTCCATTAAAGCAGCTTCTATGTTCAGCATCTCGCCACTTTGTCCTCGTCATCGTCGCCCTTCACCAGGCCAGAGTTGGCAGATCACTTTCAAAAAGCAACTGGTTATAGTTAAGCCAAAGTAACTAGTTAGTAGGCAACTACTATCTACTTCAAGGTTTCATATGAGGGAGGTGTTAATATATTTGGACACTTTTCTGCAATCAGATCTTTTAATAAAACTGGTGGTTTGATGATCAAATATGAAATATTTAAGATTGTTTAAAAATGTCACGACTTACAGATTAATTATTGTAAATAATTCATTATTAATGTAGATTGATGATTGTTTAATGTTATGGTAAACTTGTTATATTTGCACGATAATAGGTCTAAATTGGCTATTAAAAAAGGTATAGTGCTGAAAAGTGATGCTTTAAAGCAATGCTAAATATATATATATATATATATATATATATATATATATATATATATATATATATATATATATATATATATATATATATATACACACTTTGAGGTGAAATTATACAGAAATCACATCATTGCACATAAAAAAAATCTCAGCTGGAGAGTACTTCTGGTATCCCCATGTGAAAAACATGTGTTAGATTTTAATCTAACATGAAAGCAGTAAATAACAATGATTTAGGAAAACTAAAGCACCCAGTTATGTATTGGAGCATTGGGACGATGTAAGGAGATTCGTTAGAGCTGTGCTGCTTGTAACCAACGTGGATAAAGATATTATGAGCAAATCACAGGAACATTAAGGTTATGACTAAGAGCCTGATCCGTGTTCATAGGATTCTAACCTTTATAAATTCTCTCGTCTCCCTGAGGAAAAATGAAATCAGCATCCTTAGATTCTGGGGCTCTCCACTCTTGATTTCCCAATGAAATGTAAACATTATTCTGATTTCAGCAGAACTTTGGACCGCTGAGCTTCAGCCAGGTTCTGTTTCTGATGTAGCCTATGTGCAGGATCAGTCTGGGTGAAGTGGACCTCGATGTTCTGACTCCAGCCTCAGTGCATTTCAGAAGCTTTTCCAAATCATTCAGTTGATTTTTCTTTACAATTCTTTCCAGGCTGCCTGTTGCTGGTGCATCTGTTCATACCACACTTTTTCCCTCCACTCAACTTTCCATGAATACACTTGGATGCAGCCTCTGAACAAACAGCCTCTTCATTAAACATCCTTCCTGACTCTCTTTCCTTGAGAAGCTGGTCAACTTTCCACATAATAACATAATTGTCATTCTAATTGGTCTGATATCACTTTCTAAAACTCAGAAATAGTGTATTTTAGTTTTTAGCATTAAGGCAGAATCTTTGACTGAAATGAAACTTTGAAGTTGAGCAGTGTTGTTTTTGTCAACGGTGATGATAAAATTATTTAATTGACATTACTTTTTAATGACGAGAACTGACGAGCTAAACGTAGATTTTTGATGACCAAAACATGATGAGTCATGGGTGTGAGTTTTCGATGACGAGACTAAATAAAAACGTCAGCGGGTTGTCTGTCAGATGTTTAAAATGCATCATTGTGCTTTAATCTGATAAACAGCATCAAACTTTCGCTGCATCCAGTTTGGTCATGCCGCCCTCCTGGCATTCAGTGGTGCTCGTTCTGCATGAACACAGATGGATCATAGCAGCTGCGGCAGGGGTGGAAAGTTACACTGCAAAAAATGTAAATCTCAATAAGTCATTTTTTCTTAAATTAAGGAGGTAAGTGAGACACTTTGCCAATGGAACAAGACAATTTACATTTAAAATAAGAAAAAACTATTGCATTGTCTTATTTCAAGTGTATAATATCTATCTATCTTATTTTAAGAGTTAAAATACTCATTCCATTGGCAAATCATCTTATTTACCTACTCAAATTAAGGGTAAATACACTTTCTTTTAGACTTTTTAACTCATTTTTAGATCATTTTTGCAGTGTATCCGGAATGGTCCGGTAAAGCTCGCTCAACTCTGACAAACTCCAGCTGTGCTTGTGCAGAAATGTGTCTTTTTGTGGCATAGCTCAGAGTCTGCGCTTTACGCTCCACACTGATGGTTCGCTCTCAGCAATATGGCTCTTCCTCCCTCGCTACTTAATAAACTATATATGGCTGATCATCCTCTGCCAAGGGCAAAAAACATCCTTTTATCTAACTATTAGGGTTTTATTTTTTTCCAGCTCACAAGAGGTTATGCAAAACATTCTTTCATTTCTACCAAAAGAAATTCCTAAATTATTTTCAAAGCAAATATTTCCTTCGATACTGTTTATTTTTGGATAAAGACCCAGATGAAAAGGTGCATAGATCTGTGAATATTTCTCTCTCATAGTTCTTGTTTCTATCTATGTCAATATTTTAGTTAACATATTCTTGAAATTTAGGTCCGGATTGCCACGGCATTATAAGGCAATTATGTAGGTTCTGTGTGATTTACATATCAGACCCCTGATTGGTTACCCCTGAGCAGTGGTAACCAAGGGGGAAATTCTTAGAAAAAAAAAGCCAAAATTGCCAAAGGAGAAAGAAGAATGTTTTTGTCCATTGCTTTTTTGGAGTAATGAAGATTGATTAATCTGTGTGTAATGTATAATTCATAGTAGATCATGAAGTATTTGCTTTGGGATGGAAACCTTGTTTGTCTAAAACCATTCCTTTAATGCACATCTGTCTGTTATTTGAACCAATATGATGTTTTCAACAAGATCTGTTATTTTCACAACTTTTTTGAGACACTTTTTTATAAAGTTGGGGATTAAATTCATAAAAAAAAAAGTTTAGTGAATTCTATAAATCTAAATTTACCGCTCAAAAGCAATGATGAACTGCACGGCAGCATTCTATACCCCGCAATTGTAGTATCTAGGCTAGAGCTGTCAGTCTGGTAAAGAATCTGATTATTTGAAATTATAAAGGTTAACTGTTTTATGAAGTGCAACGTAAAACTGACTAAAACCTTTTTAAGTTAGTCGACCTAAACCGACTAAAACTGTCACATATAGTAATGACTAAATGTGACTTAAACTAGTATTAGCTTTCGACCTGAAGACAAAAAACTAAGACTAAATCTAAGATCCCAGCAGAGTTTATAAATCCAGCTTCTATGCTTCGGTTTGAACCACATTTAATGGTTCTAACCGAAGAACCATTAGACGATGACGATGATGATGAGACTAACAAATCCTATTTCGATTTGTATGAACTAATATGCCTGTAGTATTTTTATAAACTGGAGATGATGTAAATTATCAAACCTGATGTTTAATCTAATTTAAATCTCCTGAGGTTTTATATTCCAGCCTGTTTTTATCCTGTTGGTTCTGATCCCTGTTTGAACCAGGAGGCTATGATGAATTATGACGGGTTATAGTTCCACTTCAGATGGTAAGCAGAATTTTTAAAACATCTTTTAAATCTAATCGGATATTGATCCTCCTCCTGACCGGTCCGAAGCAGAGGGAACCAACAGAACCAGGAAGGCTCATGTTGAAATTTGCTTCAAACAGAAAGATTAGAGGTGTGGTTTTATCTTTAACTGATCTGGTTCAAAGTGAACCAAACTTTTAACTGGTTTCTGACCAGTATAAACCAGGCTGTTAACCCGCTGATGGTACCAGCAACCCATCAAGGTTCTGCTTCTGAACCCTGAACTCCCTGATCTGGGTTTGAAAGCAGTAGATCCCAGCTAGAGTTGGTTAGTAGGAGAAAGAAGAACCGCTTCCAGCACCATATAGATGGTTTTGTATTAGAACTAAGTCTGGATCGGGTCGGAGCAAATATGGAGAGGCTAATATGGACAAAGCAACAGGGGGGGCGGGACTAAAACAAGAGCATCAGAGAGTCTGGGGACCATTTGGCCAGCTTATAGGAGAGTCTGTCAGGAACATCTGGATCAGAGCTTTTTCAGGATTCTGGTGGAACTTTTTAAAACACAAGAACTGAACAATATTGTGGTGATAAGACCTTGTTGTGTTTCAATATTTAATTCTCTAAAGTCTGCAGGATATTCTGCAACCATTTGGACCCACTGAGCTGCAGCTCAACCCTTATATCATATTTGTTCAGAGTGGCTCCTCAGAGGCCCGAAACTCTGGATGAAACCTCCAGCAGCGCTTTAACCGGACCGGACCGCACCGGCTGGCCCGCTCCCGGGTCAGACCCACCTTGGTCGCAGTACAGGCCTCCCCAGCCCTCCTTGCAGTTGCACTGCCAGGGCTGCTGGCAGGTCCCGTGGATGCAGTTCGGGTGCCGCACGCACTGGTCGCAGTGTTTCCCCTCCCAGCCCTGCTTGCACTTGCACATCCCGGCTGACTCGCAGAAGCCACGGTCTTCGCCGCAGCCTCCTGCACAGATGGCTGATGGGAGGAGGAAGAGGAGGGTGAGTGTGGAGAAAGAGAGAGGGAGAGAAAAGAGGAGAGAAGATTACCAGGAGAATATCAGAGCTGGAGTCAGAGGCAGATTCCCTCCCTGTCAGCTTCCTCCTCACACACTTTCTCATCTTGCTATCTGCACTGAGGACAATGTGGTGATTCCCATTCATTTTTTAACCAATACCTGTGCTTCCCTAAACCAAAGCTCAACCTAAACTCAGTCCTAAAGAAGACCGAAAGGCAGGACCAGCAAAATGTCCTCACTTTGCTACAAAGAGTCGAGTTCATCTATACAGCCAAGCATGGATCCATTAGGCTTGGAAAAACTTCAAATATAGAACAATTAATACATTTAGCAAAACATGAATAAAAGACATAAATAACACGAAGAAAATACACATTCCTGCATAAATGAAATGAACATATTATATACAGTAAATAGATCAAGTACATGTACACTGCAAAAACAATCCAGAAATAAGTAAAAAATGGCTTAAATTAAGTATATTTAGCCTTAATTTGAGCAGGTAAATAAGATGATTTGCCAATGGAATGAGTATTTTCACTCTTAAAATAAGATAGTTAGATAATATTTACTTGAAATAAGACGATAAAATAGTTTTTTCTTATTTTAAAAGGAAATTGTCTTGTTCCATTGGCAAAGTGTCTTACTTATCTCCTCAAATCAAGGAAAAACACACTTATTTTAAGAAAAAATAACTTATTGAGATTTATATTTTTTGCAGTGTATATAATTAAGGTAAAGATGTTTTTAAAACTAAAGGTCTGGGTGAGAAAAATGTGTTTTAACTTTGATTTTTAAGTTCAATATTGTTGATCTGAGATGTTGTGGAGGAGAAATTGTCATAAATGGCTGAAAGAGCCAGATGCTGAATGACAATGTGTTCAATTAAAGAGTTTTAAAGCTGATTTTTTAACTTGTAACCAGTGAAATCCACCATCCTCCTGTTAGAAGACATTCTCCATCAGCTGCAGGTTACTGAGAAGCTGTTTTGGTAATCGGTCCTCAATTTGATGGTGAAATGGGGAATAAAATGGTCCTAACTCTGGTGCCAAAACAGGAGCGCTCACACACACACACACACACACACACGCGCGCTCAGTCTCCTCCCCTATAAGTGCTTGTTAAGCACCGGATGAAGCAGCTGGCTCACACAACAAAAGCAACACATGCTGTCTCCTTTCACGCACGGCCGCACACATTAAGCTCCAGCGCGTGTCCCTGTGAAAGAAGCAGGCTGAGGGCCAACCTGGGCCCCGACCGCGGGGCCCACTGTTGAGCCAAAAACAAAGGAGCGGACCTCAGAGCCAAACACATTAACACAGGCTGAACATGACAGAAGCTCTGAGATCTTTTGGTCTGAACACGAACAGCAGTTTCAAGGCTTCTGCACTAAAAATGAAGCTTTGCTCAATTCGCCTGCAGCCAACATGGCAGCATGCTGGTATGGAAACAGAGGAGGAAGAGTTCACTGAAGGGTTCAGCTACACTGTTAAGAAAACACAGCTTTTAGGTGTTTGTTTGCCCTTCTTGGAGTCAGAGAACTCACGGTCCGTGCAGTACTGTCCACTCCAGCCATCCAGGCATTGGCGGTTCCCCTCGCCGTCACAGTTAAAGTGGCCGAAGGTGTCGTTCCGGGGCCGGCAGTAGGCTGAGCAGTCCTCCCCGTGGTAGTTCTCGATGCAGACCACCCGATAGGCGAAGTCCAGCTGGCTCTGGTTGTCCTGCTGGACATCCTGGGACCATTTCTCCCCGACAGTCTGCCGGCGGAGGCTCGTCATCCGGCTGAGGAGGTTGCTCTGGTCCCCTGGAGCGACAAGTAGGGGGGGGGGGAAACTATGTCAAAGTTGTATTAGAAACCTACACCTGTGATCCTCTGAGCTCCATGGATCAGTCTGGTTCTGTTAAATGTTAAACTTCTCATGAATCAGTGGCCACTGATTTCTTCACGATTTGGGAATACTAAAACTCTTCAAGTTTTACAGAGGGCCCCTTATTCCTGCAGAGCCCTAGATTTTATCATCTCAACAGTCCCGTGTCACTGCTGTTGATTCTGCTCTTTAAGATGCTTCGAATGTGTCGAAACAGAGACGGATCTGGGCTGCAGACTCACACCCCGTGGACCGAATGGGCCAGGCAGCAGAATGCAGATAAAATCACTCCGGAGATCCTGGGAAAGACGGATCCTCGAAGGGACCAGATGTAATCTCCAAAACTTCCGTGTCTTCTTCTTTATCTGATCAGATTATCCATCCCGTCACAGATGCCTGGTTTCCAGCTTCCATAATCTTCCACTCAGTCAAACATTTCACCAGAATGGACATGAAAAATGTAGATTTCTTTAACCAAATAAAATCAGTCACCTGGCAAACCAATTAGCATTTAAAGAAAAAGCAAGATTTTTTTTTTCTAAACTGTTTAATTAAGACCTCTTTCTCCAAATGTATTTAGAAACCTTCAAGACTTCAAAGAAAAGTTATCTAAAGCTGAACTCTGCAAACTTGTTCTGTGTTTCAGTCTGAATTTGGAGCATAAACACATTTTCTGTCGCCGCCTGGCGGTGAGAGCGCGGCACAGCAGCCGCAGCTGTTATTTTACCTGCAGCCTTCAGATCTGAGGATTCCGCGGTCCAGGCCTCCAGGATCAGAGAGAAGGAGCCCTGCAGTGGACAGGAAACAATGATTAAGCATTAATAATCACACTAAACACGCACACGAGTCATTACGCGCGGCCCCGACGCGTCGGGGTCAAACAGGTATTTAATCCCAACTTATTATGTAATAAGGGAGTCTGATTGTCACCAGAAGAGCAGAAAACGTCTACTTTTGCATTTTTTTTTTGTTTTGTTTGATTGATAAAAAAAAACGCATGTATGTGGAGATTTTGTCCTTAATAAGAACCTGGATAGATCCTCAGCCTACAGCGGGGTGGAAACAGTCGGATGGTTCTGCTCACTTACCGGCCACTTAAAGGAAACGTTCACCCTCATGGGGGAGCTCTGGGCGATGGAGCCGGGGTCCATCAGGGCGCTGCTTGCGTTCCCGTAGGTGCACGGCGGCTCCGGGTTAATGACGCCCTGATGATGTTTGAGGCATATGCGGAAAAAGATGCGGCAGTCGCTGGACTGGCTGCAGATGCTGAGGGAGCTGCTGAAGGACTGGACCTTCAGCTCGAAGACCGCCTTTGGAGGCTGCGTGAGAACCTGAGAGGAGGGAGTTTATTTAAGTCATTTTATAAGATGAAACATGTTCCCCTAAAGGTTTTCCTAATTCTGCAGTAAGATATCAGGCGTTTAAAAAGTTGAAATCCAGCTCTTAGAAGCTAAATCCGCAGGAAGGGAAGACTCAGCGCGTTGTGCGTAAAGGCGCACAGATCCACAGCGCTCTGCTCCCAAAGCGGGCGGCAGGAAAGCTGCGCGGCTCTGCAGGTAGCCCCTCTGAGGGGCTGTTGGAGGAGCTACTCACCGTCTGCGCCGAGAAGACCAGCAGGAGCCACGGCAGGAACAAGCGCGCCATGTCGGAGCACCGCGGACCCGATGCTCAGTTTATCTGAGCGTAAAAATCCAAACTGGGTGAAATCAATAAAGAAAAAAAATGGTAGAAAAAAAATAAAAAATAAAGAACGAAATGGGAAAAAACTTTGGGGAAGAGAGAAAAACCAAACCGCTGTGTGAGAGAATTTAAAAAAAGTTTCTGGTGTAAACAGTCCTGTCCGCCTGCTGCGCTAAAAAGAAACTAAACTGCGGCTGTTTGAACTCTGGACTGCGGCGGCTGCGGTCTCACCTCCGCTTTATACCGCGGGGGGAGGAGAGGGGGGAGGAGCGGGGAGGATGAGGGGGGGTGGCTGTAAAAGGAGTCCACCTGAGGATTTCCTGAAACACTTTCCAATCAACCGCAAGAAAAGCAGGAGGAGGAGAGAGCGAACATGGTTCTGCTTTACTGTCCAGGCAGCTGGGTTCTGTACGCTCAGGGCAGGAGATGGTCAGGGGCCTTCTTACTGTGTGAGGGTCCTTTTTATTTACATGGAACAAACTGTCAGATCAGACCCAGGCTGACTGAATAAACGCTCCGAATCTGGACCGGAACCAGCAGGATCTACGGACTGATCCTAACTGGGCCGCTCTCTGCAGAAGAACTTCATTTTAAAATAACCAACAGCTCCTCCCTGCCATGATCAAACTGAACTCCTACAAAAAAAAAGGTTAAAAATCTCTGGCCCTCAAACTACGGAAGATGATTAGGGCCAGAAAAATTTTAAAAAAAGTTAACATGTATTTTTAAAAATATTTTCGTTAATATGGGGGGGGGGGGGAATTCTGTCAGAATTCTGACTTTAATCTCAGAATTTTGAATTTAATCTCAATTCTGACTTTAATCTCAGAATTTTGAATTTAATCTCAGAATTCTGACTTTAATCTCAGAATTTTGAATTTAATCTCAGAATTCTGACTTTAATCTCAGAATTCTGGATCTTAATCTAGATGGGCACCATGAAGTAAGAGATGTGGTTAGCACTCAGCTTCACTGACAAATATGTGAGCTGTTTGGGAGGAACAGCAACACATTAGTGGAAAATGAGGGAATTAGGCGACTTTTTAAGTGTCCGATTGGTCCCTGGTGATGCTATATCAATAATGGAAGAGCAGAAGGTGATTAAAAAAAGAGAGCTAGTTTAGTCTCTATAAATCAGACATGGCTAGCTTGATGCTAACATGTTAGTTAAGTGTCAGACTTCAGTAGGAATTCTGAGATCAAAGTCAGAATTCCGACTTTTTTCCCATATTAAACTGAAATATTTTTAAAAAATCAATTTACTTTTTTATTTTTATAATTAGCCTATTCCTCAACCATCTGGTTGAGTTTTAAAAGTTTATTTTCTGCTCAAAATTCTTCCGTTTCTAGATTTAAACATTTAAAATGTCAAATTTTACTGTTAAAGACGGTGTGCAGTTTATTTTTGAGTCTGCAGCAGGACTCAGTCAGTGGCTGCCGATCTGAATCATTTTCCAGCTCAGCTTCGGAAGAGTCCAGATTGACTCCTTTTTTCCTTCCAGTGGTTGTTTTGGTTCTGCAGGTTCTACAGGGAATGTTTTTTAACCGGTTAAGCTTCAAACTTTGCAGGCATGAAAACATCTATTTATCTTTCAACACCACGGGTTCTCTGGGCCGAACTTCACCGAATCGGCTTTCTGATGGCTCTCTGACCCAAACAGCAGCTCCAAGATCTGCTGCAACAAACTCATGTTTCTCCTCAGAGCTTCAGCTGCTGCTCCAAGGAACTGAGCCTCCAGCAGAACCTTGTCTGGCCTTTTGCCTCAGCAGATGGCCGCTCACATTGAGCCTGGTTCTGCTGGAGGTTTCTTCCTGTTAAAAGGGAGTTTTTATTCTCCACTGTCGCTACAAGCATGCTTAGTGTGAGGGATTGCGTTCGAGTCAATGAGTCGATGCAATCAACTGGTTTTCCTTAGATAGCAAACTTTGTATCAATTTGACTGTATGATCTGGGGAACTGTAAAGTGCCTTGAGATGACGTGTTGTGAACTGGAAATAAACTGAATTGAATTGAATTGGTTCTAAAAGAACTTCATCATCTGAGCTCTTAATGATGCGCTGCTGTCATGTAGCAGAACATTTAAAACCAGGTGTGCGCATGCTCACAGGCCTCCTTTATTTACCTGGTGCCTCAATAAGGGATGCGCGCGCTCCCTCCCAGCACGCGGTGCGCACACGCATCCATCGCTGACTCTCAGGCATCTTCATGCTGACGCACGCGCATGTGGAAGTCAGTACCAGCGCGTGCTGCTGGAGGAAGCCTCCTCATATTCTTGGCATCGATCCGCCATCGATCCGCAGATGGCGGATCGATGCCAAGCACACCCACCTCCAATTAAGCACGTGCTGAGCCCCATCAGCGCTTTGATGTGCAGATGAGGAGACACGTTTTATTGGAGTCATTTTAACTGATCTCTGATTGGCTGTTGGTCAGCTGACTTTTATTTAACTTTATTAGCTCCTCCGATTTTCATTGTTTTATTTTGTGGTTGTTAAACCAGCTGCGAACATCGTACCACACCTTTTGCTTCACGTGCGCGCAAATGGCCCGGAGGGATAAGGTGGCACGAGCCTTTTGCCGAGGTGACAGGAGCCACGGCGTGTGGCGCGTGGCCGCTCAGGAGGAGGAAGAGGTGGCTGATGTCGTCCTGGAGATCGTGGGAAAGTCTGCAGAGGTGTCAGAGCCAACACCTGGACACACAGCAGCGCGTGAAACAAACGGAGCAGCGCGAGCGCAAGACGGAATAAAATAAAATCCCAGCTTTTCCCTCACCTTTTAGCCCCGCCCTCTCCCAAGATCTGAAACATGTCTTTATAAAACATTTTAAAATCAGATTGGATGAAGACCATTAATGAAAACCACTTTGTTACATCACTGTACTTTGACTAGGCCATTCTACCTCATAAAACCACTTAGACCTATTCACTCTATTTCCTAGATATTCATGGTTCTTCTGCTGGAAGGAGAATCTCCATAATCTAACTCTGCAGCCTCTAACCATATTTCCTCTCCTCATTTAGTTCCAAGCATCTTGCCATTAACTCTGTCCCCAGAGCATGATGCTGCCACCACCTTGTTCCAAAGCACAGATGTCATATTCCTATATGTGACCACGTCCTTCATTTCTCAATATCTATCATGCAGCATACAAATACTTAATGAATCCGTTGCATCTAATAAAGCATCAGTTTTTTAATGTCTTCCTTTGCTGACATGAAGCAACAAAAGATGCTTAAATGATCCAACAGTTGCAGGAATTATTTGATTGGCCAATTATCAGTAGCTTAGCCAATAACCTTTGGGTGCTTTTTCAGAATCAGAAATACTTTAATGATCCTAGGGGGAAATAATCTTTGTTACACGCTCCAGGTATGCAGACAATATATTGCAAATATTCATTGTCTAAAGAAATAGAAAACTACTTTCCACACTAAAAATATAAATATATACATATGTATCAATATATACTATATATTTCACAGATCTAAATAAAAATAATAGCATTTTTTCACTTAGTTTTAGTTCAATGTGACACTTTTATAAAGTAGGCTTAGTTTTTACATGGATAAAGTTGATTTAGTGTCTTTGTCAACGTCAGAGACCTGAGCAATGAATCAATTTACAGCAGATCTTCTATTACTTTAATTTTAAGTTTCTTGTCTGTAATCTTTAGGATGATAAAAGCCTTTTGAATCATTCAATATTGGAGTTGATAAATCAGAATCAGAAATACTTTAATAATCCCAGAGGAAAATTACTTTTGTTACACGCTCCAGTTACAGTTATATATATATATATATATATATATATATATATATATATATATATATATATATATATATAGGCTATATATATATATATAATTTTTTTTTTTTTTTTTTTTTTTTCAGATAAGTTTTTGCAGTAAAGGGTTGGACGTTAAGAAGATCTGGATCCGGGCCCTGATGGGAAAAGGGGCCCTAAATATGACTGTTAATGGGGCCCCTGATTCAGCTCAAAAAGCTGGACCCATCTGAGCCCAGTCGGTGCCTGGACCTGTTGGCCCCCAGCCTGCGTGGGAGTGGGGCTGGATTCATGCAAACGATGCGCTTTACACTGAGCCTTGTGGGCTGGGTGGAGGGTTCACACCTACCTGCTGACCGTCTGTCAGGTGACAGAAAGCCGCACGACGCCCCTTCATCCGACACGCGGCCGCGTGCCTTTAATGGTCCCCGCGGCGGCGCGCGCACTTCTCTGTTTCATGTTAAAATGAGGCTTTTGTTCAGTGCAGAAAGCTGCTGCAGCTGTTTAGGGGGACTGGAGGTGTGAAGCTGGGAACCTCAGGAGCTTCCTGCCTCCCACCGTTTGGCCCCCAACCTTCACTGAGACACGAAACGGGTCAGAAGCTCAAGTCCAACCCACCGAGAAGAAACTGGTTGAAAATAAACTGAAAGGACGACATGATTTCAGAGGCGTAGCCAGAAAGTTTTTATAAGGGTGTCCAGGTAACAACCAATGAGGGTGCTGATAGTGGATATAGGCACCAGAACCTCAGGGTCAATCTACCCTGTTCCAAAGGAAAATTAACAAGCATAACATCCATATTTTTCTAAATGAAGACAAATTATCCTTTCCTACAGCCTTTGCTAACAAATAGATGCATATATTTAAACATCTGTGCTTTCTAGATAAAAGATATAGTGCACTGTAAGCAATTGCTGTAAATTTACAGCAAATTTTCAACACTAAAATACTGTTTTCATGTTTAACAGTTCAGTACTGTAATAAGCAATGCATTGTGGGCTTCTTAACTTGGAGCAACAGGACAGAGGCCGTAAACGGTATGCGGCTGTTTTAAATAACGGGATACTACAGTATTTTCTGAAAAATTTCCAGAAGACTGCAGAACACACAACGTGCTACCATCTGTCTTCATCACAACGATTCCAGCCTTGCATCTAAAAAAATGTAACGGTACGTAAATCAAAATCTTTTTTTCTTTGCCTCTGTGTTTTCTATTTTATTTATATTGCCAAGAATGTTTGATATAGGCTAACGCTCAGGAGTTTGTCTAGCTAGGCTATATGTAAGCTATCAGTGATGCTTAGATTTGAATAGGGTAGTCAATATTCTACTATATTCTACTCTACTTCTCTACTATTTTGTTGTTGTTGTTAAATCTTGGTTAACTATAATATATAGTAGCCGGACGACAGCTTACACACACGCATGCACACCCCCACACACACACACGCACACACACAGGGTATTGGACCTCATTAGAATCCCATTTGCTGTCACTTTACTCCACTCTGATGTTAGACTATTTTGACGATTTTAGGCGCTTCATTGGTATAAATCCAGAGAGAAGGACAAAGGCCAAAAGGGGGAAGGTTGTCTCCAAGAAGAAAAGTGTGATCGTCCAGAAGAAGTCTTCCACAGTCAACACACACGTCTACATGCTCCTGAAGAAACTCCTTGACTTTGAATGGGACTTCACATAGATCAGTGAGTACTCCTTAATCTTGCTGTCTGTCCATGTGTTGTTTTGACAATCTGGCATTGCCACATTAAGCCACAACAATTTATTAGTTTTATAAGCATTAGCTTGGAGAGTATATTGTACATTCCTGATTGTATAATATTTGTTTGTTATTGTTTGACAGTGGCTCCACTAGAATAATACTGCAGAGGAACAGTGGCTAACAAACTGAACATCTCTCCTGGATCCACAAGATTTGAATCAGGGTGGTTCACACCCACCCAGATTCCCGGGAATACTACTACTACTACTACCCTCACAGGACTACTTTAAGAAGTAAAGTACAGTTTCTTCCCTAAATGTTCTCTTTTATCCATATTACTGTAATGATGTATAAATCCACATGTTCTAACTGTACTGTAATAGATTTGAAATGGCCTTGATGCACTTTTTCAAAATGTTCTTACGTTTGTTTTCCACATGTTGTCAATTCTGCATACAATATTCTGCATTTTCACAGACATCAGAAAATACATTGCAGATTACATAATATACATGTTTTAAGTGGAGTTTAGAGGAAAATTGTAATCTATCTCACAGGACTATTTTAAGAGGAAAAACACTGGTTTGCTGAATGTTTTTACTCATAATCAAAAAGGTCTTAATGTTCCTACTTTGAAGTAGTCTTAATAATGTTTAAACTCTTATTTCCTCTGTATTTGTTGTGTTGGTGTGTAAAAGACAATGTTAAATAATATTGACATTGGCTCAAAGTCAGCTAGTCACCTGTCTCTGTTTGCTACTCGAAATATCTTCTCCGCATCACCCAACACGGTTTATTTTCTGGGGGGGTTTTTAAATTTTTTGAAAGTAATAATATTCAATATTATATTGCCTTTTGAAATAAATTATTTTGATTCTTTTTGATTTGATTGCTTATTTTGCACAATATTCATAATAATGCTCGAGCAACTGTCTGTAGAATAATGAAGCTCTTATATTGATTGCATGTATTCAAGGTTGATATTTTAGGAAACTGCTAAACTGAATTATTGTATTGTGTATCTACTGTGCCTCTCTACAGTAAACTTAAACAGAATATTATTGTAATTTCCAAATAATAGAAATATGATGCATTTATTTTTTTATGTATTAGACAGTGAAATCATTAAACAGTGAGAAAACAGACTACTACTGTAAAGTCAATTTACGGTATGAAAACCCTAAAATTACAGTATATCACTGGTGTCCTAGCTGCCAGCTCTTTACTGTAACTCATAGAAATACAGAAATATACCGTATTTCTGGTTTACGGTCTACTACTGTAAAATCAATTTACGGATGAATACCGTAAAAATAACGGTATATTGCTGGCGTCTCTGCTGCCAGCTCTTTACTGTTATTTTACAGGACAATTACTTACAGTGTGGGTAAAATTCTATCGGGTTTGAGTTCTGGGACGGACATCTTTTCTATTGTCATTACTTACCTACTTTTGTCAATATTTATTCTGCATAAAATTGATATGTACAAGTAGTAATATCTACATAAATTGATTACTTAATACCTTTTTATTAAAATAGTTATTTATCTAAGACTCCTAAATGACTTGCAGAGACACATAATTCTGTTTACCCCATATAACACGAAATCTAGTTCTGAAAAGAGCATGAATTCTGTACTTATCATTTTTAATGTTAGTATATTGAAGTGCATAATTAACCACAGTGCTTTTTGTTGTTTTAAATTTTCTCCTTGGGAGTATTACTGCTCTTACCATTTATAAAAAGCCCGGCGTACACTGTGCGATTATCGGGGCAATTTTCCAGTGCGTTGTGAGTCGTGTAGTGTACAGAGGGTTACGAGGGGCGATCAGACCACCTCCCCATGAGGAATCATGAGAAAATCAAGATGTTCGATTTTCTCCTGACCGTCGTGGGCAAATTGCTCAGTGCGAAAACAAGGATTCTTCTTTTTCCTCTCAGATGAAAACACAGAAGCATGGCGGGGGTGCGAGTGAAAGGGAGTACCTTCTATAAAATTGGCAGACCGTAGTAGCCACATTTGTTCAGCCATGTCTTTGTCCAAATATGTCGTCGCCTTTTCTTTTTAGGGCTTTCAGCACAAAATTGCACAAATTGCCAAGGCAGCACGTTTCATTGTAGTGAGCTTAATATTCCTCTTCTATTTGTTTGGCTTCTGGATAGACGAGTCAGAGTAGCTCCACTGCGGAGCTGAGTCTGACGTGGGTTTTAGTCGTACAGTGTGAGCAGGTAGATCGCATGAGAGCATCGTGCTGCACATACATCGTGAGCTGTGAGCTCAAACCGTACGACGAAACGTCTTTGCAACGTCTACTATTGGACCGACCAAACACAGCCACATGTTCAATGAACACTTCTGGACTAAAGCAAGATAATGATGGACCAACCAGATTTACACTGCAACAGGGGTAGAGCTGGAATCAGTGCTGTGTAAATGAAAGTTATAAATGATTATCCATATGAATCCAAATGTAAAAAAAAAAAACGAAGAAAAATACATTTTAAAAATGAGATTGTTGGGATCTGGAGGCTTGTCACCTTTCTCCACCAGAGGGAGCCTGAGATCTTCCTCCTGAGGCTGTGAGCTGACTTCTGCACACCTGTTTTCCATCTGTTCATCTGGAGGCCTTCTTAAGAAGGAGGAGGCTGACACTTCCCTGCCAGAATGTTTGCCAGTAATGGTACCAGCAATCCTGAGCCAGCAAATACTGATGTTTTCTTGATTTTTTTGAGTACCTCTCTGTGTTCTTCTGCCTCTCAGAACCTGGCATATCTGGTGATCAGTCAACTCCTGAAGAAATCTCTCGCTGCCTGGAACCTGCCTGTCTGCCCTCAGCCTCCGTCTCTGCCCTCAGCCTGCCGATTAGCCTCTGGACCCTTAAGGTCCCCCCCCTGCCGGTCAGAATACCCTCTGAACAGGTATTAACCCAAACCTCCGTTAAGCAGCAAGTTTCCTGGATCCACTCTAACCAACCTGTCCACCTCTAGTTGCTTCCCTCCCGTGACCAGCCTGACGAACCAAGACCCAGTTCACATTTCTCTGAAAACATTGTCAATAAACCTTTTAACCCTTTTCCCTGTCTCTGGAGTGTTTCTGCATGTGGGTTAGAAGATTAGACCCCAACATGACAGAGATGGAATAAATAAACTGCCAACCTTGTGACATTTCATGCTTGTTCAGGTGGAAAAATCGGTGACTCCAAGATGGAATACGAAATAATATATTTCTATATTTACTATTTGTTAACAATGGGTGGTGAGGTTGCTTGAGGACCCAGATGCAGAGACGAGTGAAGCAGAGATGAGTTCTGAGAGGTTTAATTGCAGACCAAGGGTAGCAGAGGCAGAAATCCAAAAATCCAACTTAAAATATTAAACAAACGAAAACCATGGAGACATCAGGGGGAAAAACGAGTCTGAGGAGCCACGGGGAGATGAGCTGAGTAGCTGAGTACAGCAACGAGAAGGAACCAGCACTGAGTGACTGCAGAGGTGGAGTATTTAAGGAGAACAAAACAAAGGATGGACTAATGAGCTGAATGAGGAGCAGGTGTGGGTGGAACTGGCAAAGCAATCTACACGCGATGCAGTCGAGCAGCTTCTAGTCAATGGCATTTGCACATTTGCTTCTTCCGGATCAAACCAAGAGCCTGGGCAGACAGGGGTGCTGCATTAGCTGGGATTGGCTTACTTAATTCACCCAGTTTGATTAGATGAAAAACTCTAATGGCGGTCTATTATTAGCTACCTGACGTTTTATCATCATCTATTTAACAAGAAAAACTCCTCGTCAGCGTCATTCAGCCGGGAACAAAGCTATGCCCAGCTGTTGTGTCACGTGACCAAATGAGCTAATTTCATTGGCTGAAAGCTGTTCGACTTCATCAAGGGTAGATTGTTTTGGCTCGAGTTCACCAGAAGGTCGACACATTTGCAGTTGAATATTTTGCAAATTAATTTTTTGCAGCTGAATGTTTTGCAGGCCAATTTTTACCAGATAACAATTGAGTGTAAGGAATTCAATGTGTAAAAAAAGACAGTTTTTCTTCCACAGCTCAATCACTATTTCAGTGTATAAATCCTGTTCTTATGGGTCTGATCTAATATTCTAGTGTTCAGTGGATCAGAACCACCAACATCAACAGAATGAGGACAGTTTCTGAATGTTTGGAGGATTTTCTGGGATGCTTCTTGTGACCGAGCGACTGCACCTGACAACCTGTTTGCTCCTCGGTTTAACGGGTTTATGAGGTCAGCAGAGGAGGAAGTGAAAATAAATCATCAGGAACAGCAGCAGCATCTCCTGAACATTGATCAGAACCACCGCAGGACGCTCAGAGCTCGTTTAAACAGCAAGATTCTTTATTTCTAGAGTTTACAAACTGTTCTGGTTCTGTGAGCGGCTCCCCCTGCAGGCAGAGGAAATGAACTGCAGTGGGGTCAGGTCCTGTGAGTGGAGGAGGCGACAGCAGCGCTGGTCCTGGATCGGCCTCCGGCCACCAACAGCAATGTCTCTGTTTATTTTAACCAATCAGCAGCTTCCAGAACCATCAGTGACACCGGGACGACCCAAGGAGGGGCTTTCAGCGCCCGCTCCGACTCTGATTGGTCTAGAGCTGAACAATGTCTGATGCAGCCCACTGACTCGTGATGGCTCAGGTTCAGTACGCAGGCCCCGCCCCTCACCGCACGCAGGGCTGGGATTGGTGTAGCAGTGTGAGTGGGAGGGGCTCTGTGGCGTCCTCACTGCTGTTTGGAACGCCAGAAGCGAGTGGCGATGGAGCCTAGAGAGAGTCCCTGCTTCTTCTGCTGCGACAGATCCGCCAGACGGTGCTCCTCCTCCTGCGGGGCGAGACATGAGGTCAGAACCGGAGACAGAACCTCAAAGGAGGAAAACGCAGTCGACTGCTCCTACCTGGGCTAGCTGGGCCTGCCGGCGTTTGAAGGCCTCGATGGGATCGTCCTCCAGCGCGTAGTTCTCTAGAACGCCCCGAACGTCGTCCACTCCGCTCAGAGCGATGGCTGACGGCGGGAAGAGGAGAGAAAGGAGAGGCGGGAGTCAGACGGCTGCAGAAAGGAAGACCTCCTCATGGCTGCAACCGTGGGAAAAACAGAACACCCTTCACCAGCAAAGGAAAGTTCTGATGCTCAGAGGAGATCATGGATCAGAACCGGTTCATTCCACAGAGTCACATCCATCGGGTTTTGGTTCAGGTTTCGCTCGTTATGATGTATAAATTAAAAACCAGATCTCATTTTATTTCCCGTATTTTTAAGAAGTTGGAGCTTAAATAAAAATATTCTTGATCAAAAGTTCTTAAAGGCAACAGATCCTTCCAGTGTTTCTGATTTGGTTCCTGCTAAACGTCGCTGCAGAGTCACAGTTCCTGAAACTTTTCTGTATTTTTTTTTGTTTTGATCACATCTTTATGTTCCTGTGCTTCTGCCTTTTAACTATCGGGTTCTGCTTTCTTCAGAATCATTTTCATTTACTATCATTTTTCATTGTTATTTAATTAGTTATTTTTAATAGGTTATAAATCTAAAAAAAAATCAAACTTCTTCCAATTTTCAGAAAGTGTTTTTTTGTATTTCAGAAAAAAATGTCAAATTCTTTACATTTATCTTTAGATTTAATTAATTCTTTATCTTTATATTACTCTATTTAAATTTTTATTTTATGTCTTTGGGTACTTAGGTTGATCATTAACACAGATTTAGAAAAGCTGCAATCAGTTTTTAAAGCTGTTAAAAAAAAAATAAACAAATAAAAATAATCATATATTTCCATCTTTTGTAGGTTATTTAAAACATATTTTATTCTATTATTCTTTTTTTTCTGCTCTGGCTGCTTTGTTAGAACATATTTTTAATATTTAATTTTCATATTTTAAGTTGGAAACGATGTCTTTTGCAGTGACCATTTAGGAAAAACTGAGAAAAACAAACAAACCTAATCAGTAACATGGTGTAATGGACTAGCGGAGCGACAGTCAGGACTTACTCTTCAAGAAGTTGGCGAGGTCGTAGAGCGCCCGGTCGTCAGAGTTGCCGTCCCACTTTGTCAGCGCCAAGCCGTTGAAGGGCTGCAGCTGGAACGACTCCCGCTTGCAGTCAACCATGATCACCTTGCTGGTGTCCCGGTTCAGACACGACACATCCTGAAGGACAGAAATGTTTAAATGTTGGTAATCCAGTGATCTGAGGGGGGCGCTGTCCATGTCCAGGTTTAAATTAAAACCAAAACATAAAGAAAGACGAACAGATTTAAATCCTGACAGAAGCATCAGATACAGAGCGGTTCTGGAAACACTGAGCTGAGGTCCAATATGGCCGACGTCGGTACGGAAGCGGTGAGCACAGACGCCTACCTTGACATGGTGGCCCTCCATGTAGCGCGTGGCGTCTCTGAAGAGGCGGTACATGACGAAGCCCTGGGGGTCGATGCTGTCGATCAGAGGAAACGCCGTCTGCCCAGCGGGAACAGAAACGACAGCTTTATGGACCATCCGTCCAAAAATAAACCTTTAAAGCCTCTAAAAACTTCTGCTGTTTCAGAAAAGGATCAAACTGAAGGAAGCGAGTTTGCAGGAGAGGAAGGATCTAAACTCCTACGGAGGGAAAGTTTAATCAGCACCCATTTCTGCTTTAGGGTTGCCGTGGTAACGCAGATTAGAGACCAATGAGCTGAAACATCAGGAGGTTCCTGGAGCTCGGATCCGTGTTGGCGTTACTCACCATGCCCGTCTCAGTGGTGAAGATGATGATCTCGTAGAGCGGCGCCAGCTGCTGGAACAGGTAGTCGATGCCGGGCCGTTTCTTAAAGCGCCACCCGGTGGACAGCTGGACACAGAGCAGAACAAACAGGATGCTGTGGTTAACGATAACAGAAAGAAGCAAACTACACAGCCCCTGGTTCTGACCCGGGAGCCGCTGCACTGACTGGACCCAGGTCCTTCATGGGTCACAGCCACTTCCTGTGGTGTGAAGCAGAGCAAAGGGAGCAGAACTCTGGGCCCGATCCATATGTGTCATCATTTTTCCTCTTCACAAGAAGAAGAAGAGACGCACCGACCAATCCGGGTGCAGCAAGACGCCGGTCAGCTCCAGAACCAGAGTGTAGGGCGGCTGGTAGTACGGCTCCTTCAGCGGGTCGGGTAGCAGCTTTGGGCTCGTCGGTTCGATGATCATCTGAAAAGAGAAAAATAAAAACCTGAACTTCCTCCAGAATTCTGCTCTGACACACAGGAAGTATCTCTATAAGTCCAGTCAGAGGAAGTTCTGACCCCTCTGGTAAAAACAGAACAAACACTTTCCTCATACAGGTATGAGCAGAACCGTCCCAGTGGATCTACTGGACCTACCGCCTTTATCTCCGTCTGCTGCTAGAACCCGAACTTTGGATTTGGTTGGAAATTAAAACAAGCCAGTTTATAAACTGGGTTCTGATCTACTAGATGATTTCTATGCTTTAGATCAGAGCAGGGACTGGGTTGGATCCGGTTCCCCTCACCTGTCTGTAGTCCTTCATGTATTTGTAGGTTCTCTTTAACTGCTGGATGACGGGAGGTTCTGAAACAGAAGAGGAGACCCAGTCAGAACATTAAAAGCAGCACATTTCTAGAATCAACCAGAACCAAGAGGTTCTGTCTGACCCATCTTCACCTTATTCTGGGTTGTTATTAAAGGAGCTGCTGATCTCAGCCCTAAAACTAGCGTCATACTAGGGCTGGGCGATAAATCAAATTTATTCAAATCATTAAACTTTTTAAAGTCCATGATTTGAAATTTTACTAAATCGTAAAATCGAGGAAATCTTTTTACTTTGGAGTTTGCTTCTGCTTCTTTCCTCCTCCTGCCTGATTGCATGCTGCACCGTTGGCACTGAGAAAAGGGACTCGTGTTTCATCGATTATATGGAAGCGGTTCGGCTTTGACGAGGCCGATGTGGAGCAGACTACAGTAGTGTGCAAAGTTTGTCGAAACGCTGTCAAAACAAAGACTAGCAGCACAACTAAGTCGCTTCAGAATCCCACAGAATGGGAGCTCGCAGCTTGGGGAGTGCAGAGTCGGTAGCTCCAGCAAAGACAAACACGACAAGAAAAGTAACTCTGGCCATCTCTTTTTCTGAAGCGGTGCTGAAAGATAAGTATAGTGTGCAGTGGAAGCAGATGACCGACGCTGCAGCTGTGCATACAGTATGAAAAAGTTTGGGCATCCCTATTAATCTTAATTATTTTTATTTCTAAATATTTGGGTGTTTGCAACAGCTATTTCAGTTTGATATTTAATAACTGATGGACACAATAATGTTTCAGTATTGATTTGAGGAAAATGTGCGTCTGTTTTTATTCTCTAAACCCTCCCAACAAGAAGGCTGCTTCTTTATAAAGCCTGAATCAGAACAGGAAGTCACCGTCCTCCAGGTTGGATCAGGTTTTAGTAATTGTTGGTGTAACCTTTGACCCCGTTTAACATTGTTACTGAAAATAAGAATCTAACAGGAAGAAAACAACGCCCACAGTTTGTCCCGCTCTGAGCTCTGGACTCCATCCCCCAGAGTTCACTGCAGCACTGATGGCTGAAAGGCTCCAGAACCTTCTCTAGTATGTTATTGAAGGATGTTATCCCAACAGAACCTGATTGTGAGGAATTTAATGGTCAGAATTGATGTTTTATGATGGTGTTTTAGGTTAAATGTGGTCAGCAGTCATTCAAACCACAGAGCAGGATGGAGTCTATATACAAAGAAATGCTGATGTTTGAAGGAAGAGAAACACACAAACACAACCGTCAATCATCAGTTGGTTTTAGCGCAGCGATAAACTAATATGGAGGGATTAATGGAGGAAATAAAGAGGATGTAAAGTACAGAGGAGACGGGCCAGGTGGATAAGAACAGAGGAACAGAGAAGCCATCCATCCATCCATCCATCCATCCCAGCTGCAATTATTAAACTTTCTCCTTCCACCTAACTTTCCCCTGCCAGCGACCTCTGGTGTGCGAACAGCACAGCATGTCTGGTCTAACAAGGCATTTCTGAAATCTGTCCGCTTCTCAAAGGACGATTAAAAAGGCATCAGTCTGAGGGAAAGAAAAGCTTTGATGGTCAATCATGAGGACGCATCAGATGATTGAGTCGAGAAGTTAGAAGGTATTCTATTGACTTGTTTGTCGTTGCTGCCTTTAAGGTTTTCTTCATTCAACCAAATTCTTGCTTTAAACTACTTTTATTAGGATTAAAATTCTTAAAATTGTCTAAAATAATGAATCGTAAATCTTAAAGCTTCCTCATCGTTGCCTCTGAAGCGCTGCAGCAGGAAGCAGGTTTACATCCAGACCCCATCTGATGGACATCTGGGAGTTTCCGTCCCGCCTGGTCGATCTGCCGCCACAACAGAGCCGTTCACTTCTGATCACTGCCTGATTCCTACGATCAATACAACCCAGTCCCTCAGGTCCAGTTCTGACTCAATCAATCCGCCCATCTGGACCTCCTTTCAGAAAACCAGGCTGGGATTCCTGCAGTCCTCTGGACGATTTTAGGGAGCGAGAGACAGATGGACGGTCAGGAGAGGAGGACGTAAAGTTACAGACGGAGGAGGAGCAGGAGGAAGTGGCACTCTGGGACTTTGGTTGACAGAGAGACGGATGGTCGGACATGAGGCGGCCGAGGGACACAGAAAAGGAAGAGCTGATGGATCTAAAGCCGCTTCCATGAAGTCGAAATGGAAAAGATTCAAACCAGATGATGGCTTCACGCTTCTGAAGTCCTTGTTGATTCATTCGTTTGGTTCCAGGCCAGTTCAGACGGATCAGAACAAACACTTTATGCTCATCTTAAAATTATTCCGGCAATAAAAGTTTATGAAGCAGAGCTGTAGCCAGAAAACAAACCAGCAACACACTGAAGGTCTCAGATTCCAGCCAATCAGGCGGCAGCTTTGTTTCACTTCATCTAAACTCAGATCAATAAACATTTCATTCATTAAATGAAAGAAAACAGAGCAGGAAATGCAGAAACGACTAAACTTTCTCATTCAGTCCAGACCTCAGGACCTTTAAAGGGTCGACCGAAGAGCAGCATTAAAACTGAAGCAGCTTTAGGTTTGGTAGCTATAATACAGAAAAGGAAATATTTTCCATGACTCCTACAGAGTCTGATTTCTGCACTGCAAAAATGGAAATCTAAATCAGTCTTTTTTGCTTAAATTAAGTGCATATTTTTATTTAGGAGGTAAGGGAAGATCTCGACTTTCCAAAAAATTAAATGTTCATAAACAGAACATCTGATTAATTAATTTTATAGATTTGCTGTGGGCACAAGTTTAAAAACAAAGCAGGATGGGAAATCTGGTTTCTAAAGTAACACAATTAAATATAAATAAAATCTGCACCAACAGAGTTTAAAATGTGTTTATGATTTATAAGTATTAATGGCGTTTTATTTTGGCAAAAAATGGTTGAGGTTTAAATTTCCAGAATATCCACAAAATATTAGGAAATCTTAAAAAAAATAAAAAAATAAAAATTCTGCAGCTAATGTGCATTTTAGCTGATAATCTGTGTGAAACTTTACTGGTGAACATTCCTGGGTAGGTGATAAACATAATCAAAAGTTAAGTCTCTGCCTGAAGCCATTTTTAGGAACAAAATAATGCTTTGAAGTCTACTGTAAATCTGAGCTCAATGAAATCAAACCACACTGCTAAAACCATCAAGAATTAAGTAAAGTGTATTTACCCTTCATTTTAGCAGATAAATATAACTATTTGCCAATGGAATGAGTATTTTTACACCTAAAATAAGATAAATAGATAATATGCACTTCTTTCTTATTTTAAATGTAAATTGTCATGTTCCATTGACAAAGGGAATTTAGAGGGAAGAGATTTTAGTTGGTAGACCTGCAGGAGACCTGCAGCCAGAGGAGGTCAAACATGTTTAACTTTCAGTCGGCCGTCGTGGGCAAACGAGGATTCTTCTTCTTCTTACTCTCAGATGAAAACACAGAAGCGTGGCAGCGGTACGAGTGAAATGGAGTTCTTTCTGTAAAACTGACAGACTGTAGTAGCCACGTTTGCTCAGCCATGTCTATGTCCAAACACTTCGTTGCCTTTTCTTTTTAGGACTTTCAGCACAAAATTGCACAAATTGCCAAGGTAGCACGTTTCACTCTAGTGAGCTTCATATTCCTCTTCTACTGGTTTGGCTTCTGGATAGACGAGTCCGAGTAGCGCCATCTCACTGCGGAGCTGAGTCTGATGTGGTTTTTAGACGTAAAAGCAGTGAGCAGGTGGATCGCATCACAGCGTCGGGCCGGACAGTGTGAGAACATACATGGGGAGCTGTGAACCCACACTACAAAGAAACTGCAGGGCTTCGTCGTAAAGTGTGAGCTGTAGCTGCGTGTAACGATAAAAAAAAATAAAAACCGCACACTTCCACTTCAACATCTAACAGGCCCTAAAACCCACAAAACAACAAAAACAAACTAATGTTTGAAGGTTTAAGGTGCATGAATAGTTTTGGTTGTTGCTGTAAACATCTCAGAGAAATGTTTGAGTTTAGTTTGTGTTCAGCAGAGTTTGGACCATTTCCTTCATCTGGATGTTTCCCAAGAGCCGCTTTCATCAGAGCTGCCAATAATCACAGATGTAATCTTAGATCATAGAAAGTCCTGCTCTGGATGCAGAGAACCAACATTCCAACATGATTAAACCCATTAGTTTGCTTTTCCTCCATTTCAGTTCATCAGAATCGTTCCCAGAAAGGTTTTTTTTCTTGGAAGGGCGGAAGGTTCTGCAGAGCCTAAACATTATTTTCTAGCATTGCCTCCTGAAGGAGGTGAAGAGGAGTAACTGGACCCACTAAGTCTGAGGGTTCTGGACTGGTACGGGGGGGGGGGGGTGAGTGATGGGATGTGGGCACATGGACCGAGGGGTGGAACACAAACAGAAGGAAGGCAGTTGGCAGCGCCGCCCAGACTGTAGAGTGACCCATCACAGAAACAAAGAGACGCACGCCACTGCCAAGACATCAATAACAGGACCCATCTGGCTGCTGCACTATTTACATATCAGTAGTACTGTCACGATAATCAATAAATCAATTAATCGCACGATAAATAAAAACAATCCACGTCATTTCCTTTATCGGCTATATCGTCTCTGCCTGTGTTTTTCTCCTATTGATGACGCTGGATGAAAAGGCTTAACTCCGGTGCTATCTACTGACCCCTCCCCTTCCTCATTTTTGAGGAGGGAGGAGGAGTGGACTATCGCATCAGGTAGTCAGCGCACATCATTCTGTACTTCTGCAGCTTTTGAGCCCCGTGAGGAGTTAGCAAGGTTAAAAAAAATGTTGGGGGGGAAAGCTCGAAGTGGAACTGCTTTAAAAGCCGAGCGCAACAGCCGCAGTGTGGGAGTATTTCGCATTCAAACCAAATGACCGAGGCAAACGTATGCGAGCCAGTATGTCGCATCTGTCATAAAACAGGAGCAACTAAAAGCAGCAACGTACACATGGACCTAAAGCACAACCACCCAGCAAAGGTTCTCCAGCTGGGGAC